TTTCAGTGGTGTGTTTTTTGGGGGGGCAAGTTTTGTTAGCCTTATTCAATATCCATTCCTCTGTTTGTTTTTCAGTGGGGGGCACCAGGGAATTTGTGGGGGGTACTCCCCCCTGGCTATGCCACTGCTTACAAACTTGTTTTACTCTGAAATGGTCAAAGCAAAATACAGCAAATGTAGCCAGTGTCATGACATCACTGCTATTCACACAACACTGGCGCACAGATGCATCTTGTGAACTGCATGCAAAAGTATCACTGTTAGCCGTCCCCCCCGACTCTTTTCTGAAAAAGTTGCCACATTTCTCGTTGACATGAAACAAAAATGACTACATACAAGAAATTAAGAATCACTTCTCACATCTGCAATAAATACAACTAAGTATTACATCTTTGCTCAAACTTTGTACATTTCTGCAGCACTAGAGACACAAACAGTAAAACATCACATTAAAACATTACATCAATGCAAATATTCAAAGGTAATTTTTGCGACCTTGGCTTCACTTCTGCTGTTGTCTTTGGTCTCACACACTCCACCATTTAAAGGCTTTGAATGAACAAGCGTAATCCAACTGCATAACCACCGTCCTGGAGTTGTATGAGGGGACTTGATCTTACTGCCAGTATCCCTCAGTGTGTCAGTCCAATCTTCAGTCATGGGACTGGAGCTGCTGACAAAGCCAAGAGTGGTAAAATGTCCTTCAGCTTACAACCTGCAATAGCGGCTCTGCATGACGGCCATCTTGCATGGCAGTTCTTGAACATAGGGAAACCACCTTTGTGCAGAGCATGTGAAATAAAAAACAAAATGCCCCACAAGATGGCTACCACGTCGAAGCCTGTATTTTAAACCCAACAGCTTCTCTCAAGCCATTTTCTACATTAATTCGGTCCAAGGCTGAGATGAAGTGCACCGGATTGATTTCCATCTGATCCAAGCAAGTGAAAACAGTAGCAGCAGCATCTTTTTTTTCGTCAGGTAGAACCAGACACCTCAGGAAGCACTGAAGATTTGTCAGCCAATACCTCCCATTAGAGCTTGAAGCACTCACACTAGCGCAGCCTAGTTTTTGTGCATAGTCCACTCTTTCACACGACCAGTGAAAGTGTCATCAAGGACTTGTAAAGAGAAGCTAGCTCGTGGGATATTTGAGAAGTTTGTGACTTGAGGCTTGATGACTTGTGTCAGCCTTAACAACAATACTGGCACAGACAGTTGAACAATGGTACACATATGACTAGTACTATACAAAAACTGAAGGAAACAACGGTTACTTCTGTCTGATACGTTACATCAACTTTACAAAACTAGTGAGCCCTGGCAGTGATAAAAAATCAAATCAGCCTACATCAGCCTGTTTTTGCCATTTTTAAAGAACCATCAATCCTTCGTAATGCAACCTATTTCTGTCGTTTTCAAAAGGCAAGCTAAAAGATAATACTTTCCTAAAATCTTATGCAAACTCTTTCACAAAAACACAGATCTGGGATGCCGTACAGGTTAGCCCAGACGATCGTCACCACAGCATATATCCAATTGAGCAATGCTAATTTCAACAGCACAAAATTGCTGCATTTCCATTCATGAAATGTGAATAATTTTACACCAATAGGCCAAGCCATAAGGAAATGAATCAATATTCAATATTTTGTGAGAAATGAAAAAGAAACTTGCAAACCATTCACAGTATTTACAGTTGCCAGCAATTTGCAGCACAAAACACCACCATTAGTCCTAATGTATACTGAAACAACAAAGATACAGAAATTGCAAACCATTTTGGCATTATTCAACAGAAAAAAAAGGATTTAATTTGTTGAGGTAGCTAATTTCAAAAAGCAGCACTGCCACATTTATAGGAACGAGTTTAGGAAGTGCAGGAAGAGATGTGGAGTACATGTAATAAGGGAGGGGGCTATAACTGCCTGTGGGCGGAACTTAAAATAGAACAAAGGAAGCATTGTAGGTCACACTATCTTTCTGCGAGGGTAATTCCTCCTTCATGAGGTATATCATGCTTCGAGGATTTCTGTATCTAGTTTGTAGGAATTTTTTGGAAAGGAGATTGTTTACAAACGCTCATTTGAAATTTACACTTGGATGTGACAACACCCCATACATCATGGTATCTCCACCCTTTTCACAAAGACTCTCTCCCTGTATGCTTCCATGTGCCCGACAGTGTTTATCAGCAGGAGACTATCTTGGTGGCTTCCCGGACTCCACTGAGGTACGCCCCCGTCACAGTCTGAGGGAAATGACGATTTGTAGCCTGAAAAATGGTGCAACAAAGTCAAACTGGTGAGGAGATCAACATTCCCAAATGACCAATCATGTCATTAATTCTACTGTCAGAATGTGCATGGCTCAGAGACCGCCACCACCCTTGAGGGTGTCAGAATTTCCTGCCCCTACAGGTGTTAGAGCCACCAGCAAGACACTGTAGCCACTGGTGTGAATTTGGGCCAGGAACTTTGAAAAGCGGCTGGGGGTGCTTACACCATAAGACACAAGGGGGCGATGTTAATGATAACAGGTGTACACGGGTCCTTGCTCTATGGTATTCAGCCCTTGCAAAAACCAAATTGGCATATTTTTTATTGCTCTCCCTTTTTAAAGTCATTTTGGTTGCTGAAAAGTCCATAAAACTCTTCACTATCCACGTCAATATTTCTTCACCACAAAAACAGCTCATCCTCCCAAAAAACAATTGAGGGGGATGTCCCCCCCTCACCTCCTTGGATTTATGCCCATGACGGCAGTCATTTTCCATGGGCGTGTGGAAGCTAGCCCTAGCCGAATATTATCGGGACATGGACATAACAACCCCTCAACAAAAATCCCTTAAATTCTGGTACAGAAAATGCTCTTCAGGTTTCCTTTCTCACAATACCGTCACTGTGGACCTCCCGACCAGAATCTCTTTTTTTCCCTCCTTTCCCCTGTCTGTCTCAAATCAAGGTCAACCGATTTCCTCCGGCCCTAAATTGCGCCCTGCCTTGTCTGCCTGTTATATCCACCACTCGGAGTAGCCTTGCAGTCAACATTTCTCCTAAGAAAAGCTTTAACAGGTGCACATCATGGTAAGAATTAGTATTACCTCTCCTGCAAAGAACAACTTCTGGCTGACGTCCATTGCCATGGTGTCATAGTCTTCACCGTGCCCGCTGGTCTTGACATAGCTGTAGGTCATCTGTGCATCTGGGTCCTTGGCCCAGTGCGTCACAAAATAACTCATCGGCTCAGGTACATCCTACAAACCAGATAAGATGGCTGGATTTTAATGAGTGACATGCGTGTGGGGTGAAGGAAACGGGATAATATGGGGCATGGTGTGATTTTTTTATCTACAGACCTGTCTCTGAATTTACATCGCCCATCAACTGAACCAATATTACAATCTTCTCTAAATGCCGAGACCAGGTTCTCAAATTGGATTCAAATGAACAAATTTTGCTGTGTAATAGTTACACGTACTTGACTAAATTCAATTATTAGTATTTATAGATTATGACCTATGACCTTTGTCAACCTCTGACCTCAATATGTGTATTAGTTACCTCTTCAGGGAACAGTCCTCGCAGGCAGGTCATGCAGTCAGCAATTATCTGCTCATCTGTCAGATCTTTGGTCTTCTCAACGGCATCACCACTCAGTACTGTCATCAGGACGTGGCAGTCTTTGCTCTGATAAACAATAATCAATCATTCAACCAATCATCAATCAGGATAATCAATGTAAACAATCTATGGTTGCCCTTCTAATCAAAACTTACATTTGGCGTCATGTCATAGAACACACTGAAGTAGCCTCGTCTGTCGTCGATAGAGGGGGTGTGGCCAAAGTAATCTGATCCGAACGTCTTCTTGCCCCAGAAGCTCCGAGGAAACTTCAAAGCAATCTGGAAAAAAAACCAGAAATTGAGAATGAGGCCCTGCCCTTTAAGGGAAAAATCAAATCCTTCTGAAAGCAATTTTGGCAAAATTGGTTGTATCTTTGGATATCTATTCTTTTTCAAACAGAAATACCTTTTCACTGATACCGGCTCCTAGATTGCGAAGAGCCTGCTGCTTTATAGTGGGTAACTGAGGGTGGAAGTCGATCAGGCCCTGCTGAAGTATGGCCAGGGGTACAGTTACAAGAACCTAAAGATAGAGAGAAACTGCTGATGAAGTGGCATATTGCTTGCTTGAATACAAGCTCTCTTACAATCTTTGTAATATATCAAGTCCCTAGCTCTACATTCTTTTCCTGAATGTTCTGAGAACTCAGCTATACAATCATTAACTAGTTAATGTCGGATTTTTCTTACCCAAAAAAGCTGCTGGGGGGCAGGTCTTTTACCCACAAAGCCTTCAAGATTGCAATTGGACCCAACAACGCACCAGGCGTTAATACGCCAACAGCAGAAATGAGAAAAGAATTCTTGAACAAGAGTACACATCCTCCGTGGAACAAATAGGGAAAACTATGTGCATTTACACGTCATTCGGCATCAAGTGGTTAATGCAGAATGAAAATCAGATCTAGAACTGATATCTTGGTTGCCGGTGAAATCTGATCCAACAAAATCCCAATTACAAGTTCAACTAATAATTTCAAAATGACCAACCTTGGCAGCCTTAAATTCTTTCCCACTTCGTGTTGTGACCACCGTGGTTTGTCCTGAGTAGTCCACACTAACCACAGCCTGACCCAACCTGATGTCCAGTCCCTCAGCCAGCTGGTTGAAGATTGCCGAGTAGCCGTCGGGAAGCAGGGTGTGGTCACCAGCAAACTGGGCAAAGGTCTCATTCTGGTCCCAATGTAACGACGAGACCTTCAAATCATTGCACAAAATGTTATAATTTAGAACTGCAAGTATGACACACCAGTGTGATAGCAATACTGATGCTAGCAAACGGAAATTATATCTACAGCAAATGTCATTTAGCCACCAAAAGCCATTTAGTTCCTCAAATACTAGCCTCGTCAATGATACTATTCAACATGCAAGAGCCGTCTTGAAGGAACCAAGATAACGTGCAGAGCACATCTCCTCACTAGTTACCTTGGACAAATTGCAGCCACAGGCATACTCCAGGTTGCTGATATGGAACTGAAGTAATCTGTTTTCGGTCGGAGTGAAAGTCAGACTAGTCTCTTCCATGAAGATCCGGTGGAACTCGAAAAGCTTCTCTGTCAAAATTAAGTAAAATGACATAAACTTTGGCTTCATTGGGTTTCCTGCAGACAAAACCGTTGAAGTGACCTATTTCCCTAAACAAAAAATTACGCTCCAGTTTTTGGACTGTCAATCGTCTGGTGCTTGAGATATTCTCACACACCAACTTCTCAAATACAACAAATCGTTGAATTCTCCAGCTCATCTGATCAGCTTACTTCCCAAGGCAACATCATTAGAATGAGTCTTGTCCTTCCTCCACTCTGCTATGGCATCCAGCATGGCATTGAAATGGAAGTCAACCCTTCGGTCCAGGGAGGCATCGATGAGTTTGCCATCTCCTTCCAGGAGATGACATCTATCCTGGATGAGCTTCATCTTCAGACCCGCCTGAGACAGGGCAAAGGTGATTATAAGATATCAAATTTAGAATTGTAGAAACAATAGAAAAATGGTGAACAGAGACAATGAGTTGTTTATATTAAGTTCTAAAATAACAAACACTGACTGGACTTGGGTATTCGCTAGTTTTTACAGAAGCTTCAAGGCTGATTTTCGCCGGAGAGAAATGTAACTTGCCACTGAAATTAGAAACAGAAGCATCAAACGCGAGCAAGAAAATGCCCATAAACAATGTTACCTGTTCGCACATTAGTGAGATTGGATTGTTGATGCAACCGTTGACGGTCTGTGCCCCTTTGGCCACGCACACGCCAAGGCTGTCGTCATCCCAGACACGACCTCCAATCCTGTCTCGTGCCTCCAAGACTGTCACTTGACAACCAAAGTTGGTCAGCTGACGAGCGGCCGCCAAGCCTGCTGCGCCTGCTCCAATGATGACCACTGGACCCTTGAGGATCAGAAGAACAAAAGCAATTGTGACCAAACACCTTATAAACACTCTACAGGGAATCGAACCCTGAACCTCTGAAACATTCCGGAAGGTGACTAACATTGAAAAGGACACTTTAAGACTGTATTTTCTTAACACAAACCTAAATACTCTAGTAAGCACACACCTAGACATTCGAATTTGGTATTTCGAAAGGTTTTGATGGCAATTGAAGCCAGGACTTACTTGCTTGAATTCCGGTGGTAACAACGTCCCACCTGGTGGATCTCTGAGCAAGCCTGTATTGATGAGACCCTTCCGAGAGAGGAAGTGGATGATGGGTACCAACAACTGGGCGCAGCGAATTCTGATCAGCCCTCGGACTACCAGATGATGTTTGCATTTCTCCACTGTCAAAAACTCCTAGGAAATTCCAAAGGCAGTCACATTACATGCTCTACTGAACTCTAATATATCGGGAAAAGTGCTTTAAGTTTACAAATGTTATTTATTATTGCCTTTGTAAAAAGGTACCTTTCCTACCTACGTTTGCTAGGCTGGAAGACCTGTAATGGTTCAAACCGAATTTAAAGTGCAAATTGCAAACTACTGAATTTAACCCCTTGACGTCGGGACTTTTCTCTGAAAACCGACTCTGAGAATTCCAGCCTCGCTCGGCTACGAAGGCCACCTGCCACACCGCAAATTCTCGGTTTGTGGCCCTGCATGCTCTGCACGTTTTGAATTACACAGTGAAAAAGCTCATTGTTCGGTGGCATGCAGCTCTACTCAGGCTTCCACATTCCCCTTGCCTCTTTTCAAAGTGAGGACTAATGTGAAGCTGGTGATTATGATTTAAATTCATTCTTTTCATTTCTGGGCTACACACAAAGACCAATTACCATATACACAAGAGCCAGGGTCTGCCTTCTTTCACAGTGTTCGCTCAAGCGTGGACCGAGAAAAATAGCTGAAAAGCGGGCTGAGGGATCTCAATTTTTACGGCAGCTCTTACCGCTTCCCGGTGAGAAGGGGTTAAAAGGGAATCGTGAAAATTATGTGGGCTCACAATTTCAGTCATATTTTGGGGCAAAGACTTGGCGAAGGTGAACATACCTTGCAGCTTGTACTCCAGAGGGCAATAACCAGGTTCCTGAGTGCCAGGTACATCTGCTGCTCCTTGGTGAATTCTGGGAACTCTTGGATCTCGTCGTGCTCCATCATGTCTGGCCGGACACACATGGCCTTACCCTGCTCATCTGGCTGGTAGAAGGGCTGGAAGTAGGGGCTGACGCCGGCCACTAGGCATCAGAAAACATGGGATAGCAACAATGCGGCAATGATATCAGCAGAGCCTCATGGAACAATTTCAGAACATTAAAATCTAAAATCTGCTAGATGGCAAATTTCAGCATCATTATTTACAGGAATTTTACCACAACTTAGAAGAACAGAATTAACCATTTAAGCTCTGATCTTTTTTTACCTGGTATGTTGGAGGTGCCACTGTAGGAATGTCTTTCTCCTAAATTAATAAAAAAAATTTTTTAAAGTAATACCAATTTCCATCATAAAAATCAACTTTATTTCCTGTTGTTACAGATTGAGTAAACCTTCTCTGAGACTCCTGGCGCATCCTATTTTCTCTTGGTCTTCCAAAACAAAACGGAGTATTCAGGGATCTCTAAGAAATAAAGTTTACCGTGCAAAAGAGATGATCACTTCTACACACCTGGTTTCTTTTTGACGAGCTCACAGGTAGCGCTGAGTCCTACACCATCTGGGAAGTAAGATGCCAGGAATGGGGCAGCGGGGGAGTTCTTGAGGAGGGGAGGGAAGAGTAGTGTCTCCAGCCACTCCGGCTGGAGGGTCTGCTTGACTCGGATGTCTTCGTCCTCATCACAGGAGATGGTACTTTCCTAGAGCAAGTATGTCACCCACAGATTATTGGTTAAACTCCATTTTCCTGCATTCATCAAAAGCTACCTCCTGGCATGACTTTGATCTGAGACTGGAAGCCCAGAAACCATGAGCGTGAGACTACTATCCTAATTTTGTTCAAAAATAAAACCTGGGACAGTTAGTTTAAAGAAACAGTAAAAATGCATATATACAAGTGTCTCTAACAAACTGGATCAGAGTTTTACACACACTCAAAGGGTAAAAGGTTTTTTTTCTTATAGCCAAATGAGTGATGACAAAGTAAAAATTTTAAATGTTTTGGAAGACACAGGCATGCAACAAGGAATTTGACAAAAAAAGGAGGAAATTCCACTCTTTGCAAGACTTTGTACAGTAGTTTTCAATTTTCAACGACACGAGTGTGAAATGAAAAACGAGGAAATCAGCTGATCCGCGGAAAAGTTGCGTGCCTGAAGACATGGCAAGAATAAGAAGCACAGCACACAGTCCCCACTCACCCCATCGTCAGCTTCACACTTTCTCCCCATCGTGCACGTGAATTGTCTGATGACGTCGGCATTGATTTCGTGCCCCCTGGGCAGCGTGCGCCATTTCCCACAGCCTGGCTTGCTGCACTGTAGCCAGTAGGGGAGTAGCTGGTCCACCATGAAGGTGCGGAGGTTGGGCTCCGTCTTGCCTGTGCAGCTCCACTCTCGCTTCCAACGCGAGACTTGCTCAAAGCCAACACGGTGGCTGGGTAGGACATACAACAACCCAGGATCAGGGAATGCTCCATTTTAACTCAACATTTTGGGTCAGTGCCTAAACCAAACAATCCATCAACAGTCATTTCAAACAGCCTGTAAAATTCAACCGATCTATGACAGCACTGTTTCTCCTATTTACTTCCCTTGCTATTTCAAAATGAAGTCAAGCGTCACAGTTAACCTGTCGGTTTGTCAACGCATCTATCTGTACACCAAACAGCGTTACTTCGATTACATATCTACCTTCTATAGAAGTAGTCAAAGCATTCATTGCAGTAATGTTCCCCTGCCGATAAATGATACCATCTACTCGTGTAGCCATTACCAGCACACCTGTATGCCAAAAGGATACAAGGGAATTGAAATCGATATCATATCACACCAACTCATTATGGCTTGAAGACGTTGTCAAACCCTGCTTGTACACCTACACAGAGTGATATGTAGCTGAAGAAATTGTACATGTGTGGGCTTTGAAAAGTGTGAGATTGAAGTCTTATTAAAGGGATCCATAAAATGTTTTTTTCTCAGAATCATTTCTTGTGTATCTCTGTACTCTTCTTCCATGTATGAAGACTGTTTGACATCTTTTTTTTGAGTTACGTGAACTGAAAGGCATACTTTTTTAAACATTCAAAATTGACCACGCATTTCTGGACAAGTGAGGGCACTTTTGCTTTGATGTGAATGCAGGAAGACATGGTTCAGGTTGCATGTTTTCATGTTCAAATTGTGAACCCCAAATTTGCTATGTGAAAAACATTTCTGTGAAAAGGATGCTTGCTGGCTTATTGCTATATATACTTACACAACAATCAATTGCTAAAGAAAATGAAATCTACGATAGCAGTGTCTAAAAGATTTGGAAATTTTCTGTGCACAAATCTGTGCAACATTGAAATTCGGCACCTTGGATGACATTATAGTTCTGCTCATGAATATTCCAATAAGCATTAGCATAAAAACCAATAAAGCTCCAAAATATGGGTTAAAATTGCTAAACAAAAATTCAAAATAAGGTTAATTGAAACCGGAAGATGCAATTTCAAGGGTTTTAGTAAAATTTATCGAAATATTTCTATTTCATGGTTTCTTTAAACGATGGCAAGCTACATGTACAACACCTTTCGTGAGCACTGATGGAGCACAGCGGCATTTTGGCAGGACAACGAGCTTTCTCACAACTCCTGTGGGCTCTCTTGGGCCCCGAGCCTCCTGACTTGGCTTTGCTGCCTCGTGCTCCACCCCCTGCAGGGCTGGGACTAGGGGAAGCTACCTCTTCTTCATCCAGAAGCTTCTCTGGTTTTCGCTTCACTCTTCCAGACATCTTGAATTCACCACACTGAAAAAACAGGTTTCCTATTGGCTGGTCACTGTCCTGACCAGTCCATGTACGTGTAGTTCACATTTAACGCATTTACATGTATCTGGTCCTTTTGTTTAAACTTTGAATATTAATTAAAAACTGTATTTACATGTACATGAAGTAATCTTACTATGGTTTAACAGCACAAATATGCATGAATGCCCACAGTCACTCTTGTGCATGTGTTTTTTATGTGGAACACAAATATGCACAGGTTCAGTAGGTTGCCAGCACAAAAAAGACACAGGCTCTTCACTGCATTTGGTCTACTGCACAATGATGCACATGAAAGTGAGGCACAGTTATTAGACAGCACAAAAGTGCAACCTGATATTTCTGTGAGGCATAGTTGGTGCAGTGACTTAAAGAAAGACTTCAGCATTACACCAACTGCAGTGAAGAGGACTGCACAAAAGAGCCAGTCTCATTTTGTGCTGGCAACCAACTGTATACACTCTGAACCTGTGCATATTGAATTGATGGCACTTGGGCGAAGAACCGACTTTATTATTCATATCAAAGTCAGTCATACTTAATTGAAAGCAAGATTAGCCACTTTTTTTTATTTTGGGAGTCCAAGAATAACAATGAAATTGAAAAAAAAAATTCCTTCCAGATTAATATTCTAAATATGTGATTTATCATGTAAATGTTTTACACAACATTTAAAAAAAGGAAAGTGAGGCATGGAACCCCAAATAGTCTGGCACCACCCTATTTGTAAGATTACATTGAATATGATAGATTTAGGGGAAAAAAAAAAAAGTTTGGTCCGAGCCGATTCGGCTCGTCAGGCTGGTGTTTATCTCCGGTTTCCGTGGTATGAAACAACTGAGAATATTTCTGCCCCCCCTCCCGGATGGGATGCCAGTCCCTTGCAGGTTGCATCCCCAGCTAGTGCAGTTCACCATTTATATTCCTGGGTGGAGAGAGACAAGCAGGGGTGAGGTGACTTGCCAAGGGCCGCAACATACGGCCAGCAGCTGGATTCGAACCTCCAACCCTATGATTGGAAGCCACAGATCCTAACCACTTGGCCACATGCCCCCCCATAGATTTAGGAAACATGATAAAAAATGGCATTAACAAGGTCTGTTCAGAAGTCGGCCATGGTTAGCCATTATTACTCACAGTCTTGTAACTGTTTGGGGGGTATATGTTTATAACCATGCTTCTGGCAAGTAACATAGCGTAGACAAAGAAACATGCAAATTTTCTGCAGAGTGCAATAGTCTGAAAGGTTGAAATTGGGTGGAATTTTTGCTTAAAAATCAAAATCAAATATCCCAAAAATGAGGCAAGGGGGAGGAGAAATCGGGGCAGGAAGTGGTGAGCAGCAATATTGATTGGCATGATCATGATGATGAGCCTGACATGTCTAAATCATCATGATCATGAAGGTCGGACAAGGCCTATATGGTCGCATCGTGGTCTAATAGTACTTTGTACATGGGATGGTCGGCCTAGGACATGTGGGAAACAAGGCCTCATCAAGGTTGTCACTGTTGAGGGCAATCTTTGCAAATGTAGAAATTTAAGATTTGTGTGCAATATTTGAATTTCACAACCACAGATATTGCCATAAAACTTGTGCACAGTGATGAAAAATTGCGAGAATACATGAACCACACATAAGTCGTACGTGAGAGGCTGAATTCAACTACATGCATACATTTACACACTTTTGTCGGGTCTGTTTCGTGCGTGAAGTGTGTGTACGGCATGTAGCATATATACATGTATACTTATGCGGCTGGGGCACTGTACGTCATGCCAGCCAGCCGTGAGAAATTTGGCCATTAAAGCATTTTAATGAATATTGCCAAGTGAGAGCAACTAAATTCCCCTGCTGACATTTAGTTCAGACTGTTCTTCCCTC